ACACACACACACACACATATATATATATATATATATATGTGTGTGTGTGTGTGTGTGTATCATAAAAATTTCATTTGCACATTGCAATTATTTTTAAGACTTTTTTCATAAACTTATCATTTGCTAGCTTTGTATATACTATAGTAGGCGCTCATGTTCAGAAACTGTCACAAATTGAATTAAATTGTGGCTACACAATCTTGTATAGAAAAACAATAACTTAGGGTTACTTTTTTTCACTCTTGGTCACTTTCGTCTTCATACGTGCACAATAAACCCGCTATCATATAAATGTTATTAACTCCTAATCTCTGTAGCTATAATTATTCACAGAAATACAAATGTTACTTCATTGTTAATGTCCGCACAAAACTTTCACTGTCATACACTGACTGGTCACTTTATTTTCGTCCTCTATACGTATCTATAAAACACTCCATTTATTTACATATATGCAAAATAGATGACCCTGCAATGTGGTAGGTGATCGCTTGAACTCTATAAATGCAGAGATGAAGTAATACTATGATTTTTATCTTGGTCTGTATGGCATCTGGTAATAGCAAAAATATCTCTAACTTTATAAGGCGCATGATAGTCAGCAGGAGCATCATTATTAAAGACCGTTTCTTTGTGTGGCTTGTTCAAAGACACCTGTCATCAGGCTCTACGAAGATTTATAATCGAAGACGAATACGACTGTCACTATGAAAAACTGTAGCTGTTAAGTGCTGGTGATGGATAGAGGGAAATATGGGTTGAACAGATTCATAGAGTTTTACTGTTGTCAGTCTTTATATTAATTGATTGGTTTCTTCAACAGCGGTGTGGATTCGACTATTTTCATCTGTACCATGTTATATGGCAACTTAAAGCATAAGTATCAACACCACTTATCTCAAATGTAAACCGGACAACTATAATGATATTTAAAGTGAACCCTTTGAACATTGAATGACTATGGGCATGTAATGTGGTTTGATGAGTTTGGTTTCACCATTTTCTGAACCTGATGTTGACGCAAAAATAAAGGGAAAATCACATGAGGCACTTGACCTTGCTTGTGTTTTTCAGAAAGTGTGCTGCAATGAAAGTGGTGCAAAGGTGTGGGATTTGGTCCTTTTATTCTTTTGAGAGAGAGAGAGAATGAATAACACATCCAAAATATACCTGAAACGTTGTTGCCAATTCTGTGTACCCTACAATTTTGCTTGTTTAACTGGAATAAATCTTCAATAAATCTTCTAAGACGATAATGTAAAAACCCTTCGAGCTTATACTTCGCAACATTGAATCGAAAAGTGAGACAGTGACTTCAGTCATCTTCGTCGACAAACACAATCATCGGACCTCAGTCCGATTGAGCATTTTTGAAATAGATTTGAATGTTGCAGTTGCTGTCATAATTTTTTTTGAACCGATTGCAGACCATGATTCTCTACAAATAACTTACAATTGACTCATGAAGTCTGCGGTCATTGAGTATGCTACTGTTGTGACAAAAAGTAGTCCAACCCGATATGAGACGGGAGGGGGTTCTATAAACTGTTCAGTCAATGTATACTTTTTGCGTGTTCTCGGTTATTACAGTTATTGCCCGCACAAAATTATTACGTCATTGTCACACTTTGTAAATGGCGTTGTTATATAGTCAGTGTTAGACTCAAACGGTATACAGTAGTGTGTTGTCTGTCAGTCAGTCTAAATATACTAAAATGAATTCGCATGAGGGGCGCTTAACGTTGCAATTTGTACTGTCGTGACCTCAGTAAAACGTGCCATGAATCACAAGAAGAATTATGCACTCTGTAAGCTACATCAAAGCATGACATATGAACTTGAAAAGCAAGAAATAAAAATATTTTTTACTTTTGATTTTGGTTTTATTTACTCTTGAAACAGAACTCTTTCGGGGACCCTGCGGAAGTACATCTAGTATAGTCGGTATGAGATTCAAACGGTTACGTCACTGTCACACGGAAATTCGAGTTGTTATATAGTCAACATAAAGTTCGAATGGTTATGTGATTGTTGAAAATTCCCATTCGCTGAGTTTTACTGGTATTCATAAACCCTTCACAGTGATATTTATGTTGATTGGTTTAGAGAAAAATGTCAACACTTTATTACCAATTGATTTATACAGCAAACCTTCCGACTGCAAATTAGGCTACCCCACAACCAGCTAATAGCATATCGATTCAGCCTCAAGGAAACGTTGGGTGAGGTGAAACAAAAAGTTTGTAAAGAGAAAAATCTAGACCCGTCGATGTATCACCTGGTCCATCCAAACCATCAAGACAAAATCCTGGATGCCAACATGACTTTTGAGGAATACAACTGTAAAGAAATTTCACTTCTATCAGCAAAAAGTAAGCCTGTAACGTTTATTAATATGAAAATGCTTGCATAATTTAAAGTAAGATAATATATTTTATGAATTAAATTGCTGTTTATATTTCCATATTAATACGCAGAAGATTCTTCAGTCAAACTACATTAAAGTTATTGGAGCTCTAAGTTTATCATACAATGTGAAGCCTTTAAAGCCACGGAAATTCGATTGTTAACTTACCAGTTGTACACATGTAAGGTTCAATGGAGTTAATAACTTGTTCAATTAATTATGAATGTAATGAGATCCGTAATGTGATAAAATTCATGCGATGTGTGTGTGTGTGTGTGTGTGTAGCGAACAAAATTGATCTATTTGTGTGTTGTGATTTTTTTTAAGCAGAGAGAAATTTTAGAGGAAAGTGTCGAAAAATTTTTACCCAACAGTGCATATACCTTTGAATTCCCTACAATATTAAAAACAACAATTTAAAGTACCTTTCTTTTCACAATTTAGATAAACTTGTCAAGCATCTAACCTATATAAAAGAGGAGGAGTCATAAAAGACAAAATGCATTTATCGGATAGAATAGTTCGATTACTATCTGCCCATTACGATTTTAGTGACGGGGGTGAAAGGGAGCCGTGAGGGGGTGGGTGCCATGAAACCTTATAAGTGTAGTGAGTGTTGTTATATTAAGCATAAAGTAAAGACGTAGTGTGGGACGAACTAGCCTAGAGCCAAGTGCATAAAATATATCATGAAAATAAAAATATCCATTCAATTTTAAACTTAAATCGTTTCTGAATTAAGCTATTTTCCGTTATATCACCAACCTTTTGAATACAAAACAAACCTCTTTAATCAACGGAGACTCTAAACTGAGAAATCAACAAATATTTTTCCAGTCTTGTTGTATATTACATTTCATTTTATACTTTCAGTACATAGACTAACAACAATATTAGGAACGTAGTGTTACCAAAACGCACTGGCTTTTATATATATATTAGAAGTTGTTAATCTAACTGATTTTTACCAATATTACTCTATGAATATGTCACGAATTTATTTCATATATAATCTTAATTTTGATTGGCTCACAAAGGAATTTACCGACGTTTGACTGCCTCTTTGTTGGCCCAGCTTTATTTCACAGAATCTATTTATTTCAGTTAGCTATGAAATGTAAGGTTAGGGTATACTACTTAGTATTTGCTCCATCATTTTTGACGTGATATACGCTAGTTTTATTATAATTATCCAACGATCAACATCAATTCTACCGATATATTTTTTTTAACTGTAGATATTTAAATTATTTCTTTAAACATAATGCGCGAAAATAAGCTTTGAAATTTTGATATTTAACACATATGTGGATTTGGTATGGAGTTAGTCAAACACACTCAACTCGTATAGTTACAAATTATCAGTATGGATAAGTGTAAAACGTATGTATTATTTACACATTACACCACAAGAGAAATACAGTATAGGACAACTGCAATATGCAACGTTAAAAACAACAACGCTGTGTCACAACTCGCTTCACAACGTACTTTTTATAGTAATATAAGATGTGAGGGTTATATTAGTTATATGAATATTCTAAATATATGAACGTTAAATTTACAATCACAATTGTTAATCAGTTGTCGTACACCAACAAGTAGAAAGTGGCTAATTAGTTTATAATTAGACAACTGTTATTCTATCGATGAATTTTGTTCATTTCATCAAGTTTAAAGTTTCAACTGTTTAAACGTTGTGAGAGATTAACTAAACAGTTTCAATTGCGTCCGAGCTCTTAAACTTGCAACGTAAAACTTCTGCTTTAAATATTGTAAACATTAGCCTAAACAGTTTAAACGAGTCTGTTTGGATTTTGTTTTTTATTTAGTAAACACGAGTCTTATTTTAGATAGAAAAATGTCATAACAATTAAAAAAATCCGGTTTCAAACATGCTAACACGAATTAATCAGCTCCCAATAAATCTTTTACTTTGTCAAGTTCTCACATTATCTTGTTTACTGGTGGTTTAGGGAAATCCACAATTGAAAAGAATTCTGTTTGAACCAATTTCGCAAAAATTATTTTTGGAGATCGGTTCTCAATCGAAGTGACATTAAGATGATAAGTGTAAACTAATTATTAAACTTGTTAAAAAGATCCAAATTTCTTTCCATTTTTTCACATTGAAATAATTAATGAAATAATAATTAATTGTTACTGAACTATCAAGGTTTTCAGTTCCAGTTACCATAATTTTGTAATAATTATTTAAAGGGCGGTGATTTGGAGTCATACAAATGTAGAAATATAGCGTAATTTATTGTTACTGTTAGGTTCTTTTAACAACTACCTTTCATATCAAAATATAAGGAGTGACTCCTTTCCCACAACTGGCTGCGGATAGTGAAAGGTAGGAGTTGAGACGTTGTGAGCCAAGCCCTAACTCCTAACATTTAATTTGATCTTCCTTAACGGGTACCTTGTTTGGCATTTGCATTTAACTCGTGTCTAATAGAAAGAATATTCCCAACGCTTTTGGGTGCTAAGACCACAGACATTTTCTATTATGAGTTAATGAATAATGAGGACTGGCAATGGATAAATTTCCCTTTTATTGTGGTTTATAATTTCAAAAAACAACAAAAAACATGCATTGATTGCAAGAGAAAGTTTTCTTTTCCTAGAAATCGTCAAATTCAATATCCACTAAGTGTGACTCCAACAAAAAAATATACATAAATTATCCATTTTGAGAATCGCATACAATACCGTTCATTTAAGTGGCCATGAAGTTTTCACTATAATAACTTTATAGTAATATTTTACAAAGAATAACTGAGGTATGTTTCTCAGGTATTGACGCCAACTCGTCACAAGTAATAACTTTATAGTAATATTTTACAAAGAATAACTGAGGTATGTTTCTCAGGTATTGACGCCAACTCGTCACAAGTAGAAATTATTCCGTATAAGTCTCATAATCAACAGGAAAAGAAAAACCCAGGTTATCAACAGAAACAAGGAGAATCGGTAAATCTATACTACATGTTGTCATCTTTCCTTTTTGCTTTATGCGTGTCTAGCAAATTTCTTTGTCATTTTACGCTTTTCGTGTTCTTATGGATCTTTGTTAACATTATTTTTCTTCTATTAACTGTTATCCATCTTTTCACAAATGACCTAAGTAACTCCTCGGTGTTTGTTTTCTACACATTTTTTTTCTTAAAACCTTTGAAAAGATATTACTGGTGAACCATATATTAGTCAACAGTGAGCTTTACATATAATTTGAAGGTCAGATGGCCCTCAAATTACTGACTTCTTTTTATATTGTTCATAGTATGTAATTTTACGTTTCTCTTGTTATAATTGTTGGTGTAAAAAAATGACCAAATAGTTAGATGAAATCACTCATTCCCTACGTATTTTACAAAGGAAATGAATAGTTTTACCTAATATATTGTTAGTGACCCTGTAACCAACAAATCAATTTAATTTGGTGCAGAAATAGTTTAGAAAAAGTGTTTTAAAGAGCTGATAGTGTTCTGGATTCTATCGTTAAATCTACAGGAGAAAAAAAAGTTTAACCTATAGCAAGTTACAATTTAATTTTTCTTCTTTCAGTTCAAAATTGTAATACTCTTTGTTGCATTTAGTGATGCTTGCTTTTATATTTTCAGAGCATATGTATCTCAAGCAATGGCAGTCAAGACAATCAGAAGCCTGCTAGTCATGCAGTTAAGCCTCCTTTGAGGTCCAGGTTCGGAAAAGGGCCAGCACCGCCACCCCCTATGCAAAAGGAAAACAAGCGTGAAATAAATTCTTTTACTAGAAATATTTCAAAACCAGATCAACATGACATAGAAAGTGGCTCCCATTCTCGCCACAGCTCCGACTCCAGTGGATACCATGAAGCCTCGGTTTATAGCGAGCCTTCTAATGGTATTACCACTGGTAATAAAAGTGAACATTCTCCTAATCATGATAATTTCTTAAAAGAAAAAACCTCTACACCAAAGAAAAAAATGTCGAGTCTTCCTTAGCAAAGCCTACCTCTCCTATACTGTCACTAAATAAAAAACGAAAGGCCCCGCCTCCTCCAACCACCCAAGTTGCAGGTAAGAAAACCTTTGAGCTTGCACAAGAAGTAGAAATTAGAAATTCTCACTCTTCTACTCTTACAAAAGTGTCCGAATCTCACAACTCAAAAACGGGAAGATCCACAGAACCGATTAACATGTCGCAAACTGACGAATATATGGCCTCGCAGGTTCATGAATCATCTGATCATCAAAAATTATGTTCTGGGAGAACAGAGGCTTCTTTTTCTAATCAAGAAAACAACGATAATGAGCTTTACACTTCCAATTCCAACATCCTCTGTAGCATTCCAGATAAAGACCATGAATCCCTGAGATCTTTCTCACCACCCCTTGAAGACGAAAACCCTTACCCTGACGAGACTTACTCTTTGTCAGACATTGACAAAGACGAGGTGGGTCGTGAGGACTCTGACAAGTATTCCGTGTCAGACATCGATGAAGGTGAGTCACCACTAGACATTTTTCCTGAACGATTAGAACAAATGTTCTATCAATACCTTGAGGTCTATTTGTAGAAAGAATGTCTAAAAACAATTACATTCGCCAGAGTCATTATAACTTTTAACGTTTCTAAATCAAACTGGTCAGCATTTAATCATTAATAACTGTGCTCCCCCACCCCCCAACTCTTGTTTCACGTCTGTAGAAAACATCATCAGCTGGTCTTTTGTATTCCTCAAATTTAAAAATAATCTAATTAGAATCGGCTTCTATCATGAAGTGACAAGACTAAGAAAAATCTATTTTAGAAGTTCAATTTCTTACTGATTTGTTTTATTCAAAATTTACTTACTTAGACTTATCAAAACTTTAAATTTCGGAGAACAAATCCGAACAATATTCTTGAATAACTCGTGAATTGTTTATAGAGACATAATGAACTATGTTCCCACCAAATATATCAAAGAAGATAATTTCCTATTAAAAAAAATTCCTTTTTACAATTTCTATATATTATTGCTGGAGGTTTCGGAGTTTTGTATGTCTAAGTTATGTCACTCAGTGGTGTAAAACCGAAAACGTAAATATATTTCGTGCTTTAAAATATATATACCAATTTATTCATATTTGTTCGATATGTTATTAATACGACGATAGGAATGAAAAAGTAGTTGCAGAGTAGATTAAGAAATATAATTATGTGCATCAAAGTAACTTATACAAAAAATATTTATCGGGAATGGTTTTAATTCATTTTCAACTATCATCGAATTCTTCCTTTTCATATTAACAAAACGAAAAATATATTTTATTCCGAGTGTGGTGGGAATCATATGAGATTATGTAAGATAAGTTCAATTGAAAACGTGTGCAAAATGTGTCACGTCTTAATTAATATATTATGTATATCATTAGATTAATCATTTTATTTGATTTGCTATCATATGCATTTATATGTGTTATTTCCCTTTTGGTACGTACAGTTGTACATCAGTTTGATTTTATTATCAAACCATCATGTATTATGTTTTCACATACGAATCTGTCTGTAAACACAAGTGACCTTGTCTTACCAACAAACAGAATACGTCATTCCTGCTCTCATCTGTTATGTTTTCTTTTAAGAAAGATACGAAGTCTTTGCCCTAAACTGTGAACTGTAAATGAATAATATACTTTCTTGTTTGATAAAAGATGAACTAATATTGCTGTTAATCTGTGAATATTGCTTTTCCTATATAGAACTTGTAGAAACAATAGTGACTAGTGTAAATCCTCTCCGGCCTTCAGATTCAGATTACACCAGCAATTTACGTGTTCAAAACTCGCCACTAGAGAGAGCTAGCGACGATGAGTTGGAAACTGTTAGTACAAATAAGTCGAATGGAATTACCAACTCCGAGTTTAAACACACGGAAAACTTCGAAGACGTCTGTCTGGAAACCCTTAACATAAACTTAATGGATCATAAAATCAACATACTAGATTACTCTGGTGACAATGAAACCTCTGTTGATGAATATAACGAGAAAGGGAACCCAGTGGATACATTCCGTCAGACAGCTCTTTCAGCATACAATGATGATGATGATTCAGAAATTTTACTAGTTAACAATAAATTTACTTCAATGAAAAATACCAAAGAAAATACCATCTCGGTAAACGAGATGACTGAATATGTTAACTCTTTATACAACTTTACTTCTCTTGAAGAAACTCCGAGTGAAGAAGAATTCATAGCAGAAATCCTAGACCCCCCGGAAGAGTTTTCTAACCAAGCTGTGGTGCCTGCTGAGACAAGAGGCTTAGCGACAGAATATGATGACGACCTAGAAACCCCTCCACCTCTGCCTTCAACGAAACCTCCTTTGAGACCTTTACCGCCTAAAACATACTCCTCCCCCATATCAAGAAGAACACTTCCTGTGCCTCTTCCTCGACAACGTCCTCCGTCACCGTTACCACGAAAGAACGTATTACATGGGACTACTACTACTTCTTCTTCTACTAACAAAGGTTTATCAACTTTACTAACCTTTCTTTACTTTAAACCTACTAACCTACTTAATACTATCGACTTGCTAGTTTATTATAATCTCGCACATCATAGGTCATAAATCTCATCCTACTTTCAGCTAACACTATTAACTTTAGAACTACTAATTTGGATCCATCAGCTTTTTATGCACTACGCACCAAATTGCTCGCTGAGCCACAAAAAATACCACCAACATTAGAGTTAATTCCATTCATTACTGTTGTGATTCCGTATTTATTTTATATAGAAAATGAAAGGTTTCATCCAAGTTTTGGCCAGTTCTTTAAGTCAAATGTTGTAAAAGACGAAAATAAAATTACTGAATTCGATAGCGTGTAGTGAACGATGCGACAATAAGTCGATAGCTTGAGGGTTAATTATTTCTATATCAAAATTGCATCTAATCAAGTCAGCGATATATCCAATGTAAAAATTTGAGTGATTAACATGCATAATGCCCTCCAGTGGCACAGCGGTATGTCTGCGGACTTACAGCGCTAGAATCCGGGTTTCGATACCCGTGGTGGGCAGAGCACAGATAGCCCATTGTGTAGCTTTGTGCTTAATTACAAACAAACAAATAAAAACATGCATAATTATTACAATTTCAAACCAACTCGCATAGGTATAATATTTTGTTTGACATAAATTATTTTTAAAACTGGCTCGGCATGGCCAGGTGGTTAGGACGCTCGACTCGCAATCTGCGGGCCGCGGGTTCGCATCCCTGTTCCACCAAACGTGCTCGCCCTTTCAGCCGTTGGGGCGTTATAATGTGACGGTCAATCCCACTATTCGTTGGTAAAAGAATAGCCCAAGAGTTGGCGGTGGGTGGTGATGACTAGCTGCCTTCCCTCTAGTCTTACACTGCTAAATTAGGGACGGCTAGCGCAGATAGCCCTCGCGTAGCTTTGCGCGAAATACAAAACAAACAATTTTTAAAACTAACGTTTCTGTATGTTCCTTTGATACAATCTTTTTAACGAGTTTATGGTTTATAATGTTCACATTTTATTTCGTTAGTTTTTCTTTTAATGCACCTAAATGTTTAGATTTCTCTGCTTTTCTTGTTCTTTTGGTGCAAGTCTAAAATCCTAACTTACTTTAGCTTTGTTGTTATATTTACGCGTAAAGAAGGTCCGTGGTTTATCACCCACGAGCAGGGTTACTATAAAATATTCCTCATGGACCCGTATCTCACTCGCGACTCTAACTACAATGTAACTGCAGTATTTCTAACAAGATTTCCACTTACTGTTTTCGTTATCCAAGAGACGTTAAATTATTACTTTAAGGGGAGAGTGACTGAGCTTGTACGAAACAGTAAGCCTCACGGTTAATAAGTAAAATACATAAAAAATTCCACAGATCGAGAGAGGCTTAAAGTGCTTGTTAATAAAATTTTTCTTAGACTTGTATAAAATCGTAAATAAATACAATTAAAAACAACCTTTTCAGTTTACGCAGTGACAATAATAAAAATATTTTAGTTGTGTTCAAATACACGTTTCGATGCTTCAACCCTCTTGAAGCGCAGAAACATGTACAATGGTCTCAAATAAAATGATTATTATTGCGAAAGCCAAAACAAGTTGTTTATCGTTGTATTTATTTTTGCTTTTCAGGTTACCATTTTGAAATATGATATACTGTAATTGTAAGCTATGGCATACATACTGCTGCAGTTATAAATAAGAAAGAAGCCAATCTTTAGTGTGTAGTAGAACGTATCAAAGCTTACAAATGTAATAAGTGACATTATACTGTAGTTTCCTAATTGTAAGTTTAGACGAATCTTTGGCATTTGTATCAATGATATGTACAAAATGACTCGGTGATAATTTAACAATTTATTGTTATCTAATGAGGTCATGTTCTTATTAATTTTTCTACATATACGTACATAGCTAAGCATCATGCAAGTATAGCTTATGATATCTTATGGTACAAAACTGATTTGCTGTTTAACTGTTCTTGTAATAAAAATACTTCATTGTTGCAAATCACTAGAAATACGTAAACTTTCAGATTATATTCTAAATTGAGACTTGGGCCCTGCATGTTCTATTACAAAATTTAAGAACTTTGCATTCACCAACAATAGTAGGACTAAGGGACACAAATATAAATTTTGGCAAGGTAAGAGTCATCTTCAGCTAAGGCAGTTTTTTTTTCGAACAGGGTGTTTGGCCTCTGGAATGGGTTGTCTTCGGATGTTGTGGAGGTAGTAAATTTAAGTGAGTTTATGGGAAAGTTTGATAACTATATGAATGAACAGAGGCTGGATTTAAGATTATTTTATTTGATTATTTGATAGTTTTAGTTTTGTTTAGAGGATGGGACAGTCGAGATGGACCAATAGGTCCCTAAACATTATGTTATATTAGAATTCCTTAATGTCATGTAATGTGAACTGATAATGCTTTTTCTCCCACCTTTGACTTTAACTTAATCATTTAACTGTATCACAAAAATCGCTAAGTTTGTAGAATTGCTGTTGTTTGACACCCTCACCCCTGATAATGGATGTGCATGTTTAGCGGTCCGAAACACATAAGGTCAACTTGTTTATGTTTTTCGACATAGTACTTGTATTAAAAGTTGCATGGTATTTTAATTTTATTAATTTTTTCGAATTTCCAAGCTGGACTAAACGACTAGGTTAGAGATCCCTAGGATTTAAGTACAGCCGCCCCTAATTTTGAACTACCAGTCAAAGGTAGATCAGCCAGTTAGCAGTACCCATTTTTACTTGTTATATACGCGTGACATTTCATAATCAAACACCACACGTGTGCAGACTCAAATTACATGAGAATATAGTTGAAGCATAGTGATTCTATATTCTACGTACATAAGTGACATTTCATAATCAAACACCACACGTGTGCAGACTCAAATTACATGAGAATAGTGTTGAAGCATAGTGATATATATACACACAATATCATTTAAAAAGTAAAAAAACAACACAAACTTTCAAATCAATTCAATTATTAGAACACAGGCTAACAGATTTTCGTGTTTTTACTACTGTTATTGCAAAATGTTAATTGCATTATCAATTACGAACACCAAGTTTTCAGGCTAAAACAAGTCGTTATTATTATTATTTCTTCAGGTGTTCTGAGTGGGTCAAGTGACTTCAAAGGTCGAAGATCAAGTTTGTCTTCCCTTAATACAATTGATGATCTTGATCAAACTTTCCAATTAACAATCGCAGAAGCAGAGCGATTACTAGCAACAGAAGACCAAAGAGGTATAGGCAATTAGTTTATTATAATGAACCTCATATCACTGTACTATTTCACGTTTAAGTTCATTAAATCTAAAACACTTGAATTAAATTAACACGTTTATATATATATATAATACTCTTACAGATTTATTTTTCAAAAATATGGTAATTTTTTGTACATGAATTGAAAATGTCTAGTACATAAATGTATTAACACTAAATATAAAACTACTATTTTTCTGCTTGTTGAGGAAAAAGTTTTATGGAAATACGTGTGGAACTATTGTGATAATCTGAATGAAAAATAGTAAGTTAAACATGTAGCATTTGTTCAAAAACTTCAAACCAGAATTACAATTATTCACAATTCGCATCATATCATGAAATCTAGTTAAACTATTTTAGCATTGTATTTTGTAAATGAGTAAAACATTTCAAATTGTCTGACGCAAATCCATTGCTTGACCTTTATTCCCACAGAAAAATCAAAGGTGGATTCTGAATACAATGATTCGTATAAGAACATATTCGGTCCCTTTCCAGAATCAGATTTGGCGAACAGATCCGTTACACCCGATAAAAAGTCAAGTCAAAATATATATTGTGAATTAGAAGAAACACCCACTGATCTTTCCTGGAAACCTCCGATGCTTTTGAAAGAAAAATCCCTTAGGAAGGATCTTCATGATGAAATTTATTCCTCAAACCATGACAGCAACGTTTTGGCAAGAAGAAGCATTAGTTCTTCCTCAAGTGATGAGGATCCACCACCACCCCTGCCAACAAGCCCCCCACCCCCCTTATTGGATGATGAATCTGATGAAAGTCCTGATACCAACGTCTTAAATAAACAGGTAGTAGAAATGAATCAAATGTGTGAGTTGACCAAACCACGTGATTTAAGTGTTATCACAGCAGTTCGAAATTTAGGATTAGAAAACTTCACCATCAATTCTTACAAACAGGAAGAAAATGATATCTATTCTTCTGAACTGCGAAACATTACAAATCCGCAAAGAAAGCTCAAGACATATGAAGAACCTGTTAAACCTTATTCAGAGATCCCAGTATTAAATCGATATGAATCACTTTTTCGTAAAACGAGATTTTCTGAAGTAGATAAGGTACAGAAATCAAAATCTTTCCACTTCCAAAACATCGATTCAAACAATCTGACAAAACCTGATACAACTAAGTGTGTGAGAATTGGATCGTTTCAAGAAAGAAACAAATCGATCATTCCAGTTTCTCAGAGTGATAAACTTGTCTACGGTTTTGCAGGATCAGTTAGAGGTATCAGGGGTCAAGTACGAATGCGTTGTACAGAAATCATTGATCAGAATAATTCCCCTCCTTTGACTAGAAAGGCTACTTCTATGATGGACCTTAGCCAATCTGCAATAATTGAATCTGATGATGAGTCTAGCGATTATCAAAATACAGAGTTTTCAGAGGGATTAAGACGTACAAAATCACAGGTGGACATTTCTCAACCTTCCAGTGACAAAGAGTCAGAGTCTATCGACCAACTGAGACATGCAAGATCGGAGATTGATGTACTCAAAATTCCGATCAGTGAACAGGAGGAACTACAAGAAGAGTACAAGAAGCTTCAAAAGCAGTTATTTGTTTATCAGCAACAGCTTCTAGATAACCAGAAATTTTTACAAAATGAGAATATAATGCCAAAAGTACCTCTTTCAGATGTAAAAAAAACTCAGATGCTGATCGCAAAAGAATCCCTGGCATCTGACACAGAAGTTGGTAAATCGGAAACTTTACCAAAACGAAAACAATGGAGTACATGCTCTGCTGAGGAACCTCGTCCTTCAACTCTTGATCGTCAGTCACGGCCACAGCCGCACGTGAAGACGAGTACTTGGGATATAAGGAAAGAAGACTTTGAGCCTTCTGACATGGGAATTCAATCCAAAAGGGACAGAATAATTGACTTCTTTGTTAGGTCCAAGTCACCTAATTTTGGTGGGTTCCAGAATAACGTACCAGTGTTTGATAGTGAAAAAGATAAAATCTCTGTCACTAAATATCCAATGGGACCATATTCCACTAGAAATCTATCATCCGACAGACTTTCAAAGTTAGCGGTTGACAATGAGGTAAAAAACGTTAAAAAGGATATAGGAATTACTTTGAGGCCAATTTCCCAGCAATTCAATACTAATACTAAAAGACCTTTATACAAAGCAAATGAACAAGAAAATATCGCTGGGTGTTCTGCTCACCAAACTAACGTTAAAAGCATGATTAAAGAACCGAGTCTGTCAAAACAAAATAATCAACCTCAAACATATAATTATGTTGATGAATCCTCAAACGCTACAGTTGCAGACAGAATTCGAGCTATCCAGCCGAGCGTTATCAGTAGTACTCTAACACCACAACCTTACAAACTTAACTCTAATAACGCTTTTAGGCTTCCAAGAGTCAAAACATCTGGAGAGTCTGTGGTTAATGAATTCTCTCAAAACGATGAAATGAAAAAATTAGAAAGTAAAATTCCCCCTAGCATAATAAAACCAGCACTTGGGGACAACATCATTAAAAACAGTCAAGGAAATTTTCCAAACCAAATACACAATGCCTTTTCAAGTTCACGACAATTAATGGTGAGTCAACAGCAAGAAATCGAACCCATCCCTCAGTCGTTTTCGAGAGTTGTTGAAGACTTAAATGAAAACATTCCACCTGTGCCTCCACCACTTCCTCAAAAAAATTGTGGAATTTTGTCCACAAACGGTGCTCAAACTAATGGTTTTACTTCTCATAAAAACTTGAAGAAAACTAATGGACGAAAAACATCAAATCAAGATGGGGATGTTCGTGAACTACTGATGATGGAGATAAAACAGTTTGTTGGGAAAAACGCATTAAAAAAGGTGTGTTTTTGAAAATTATACTTTTTATACACCATTTTATTCCACAATATAATATTTTATAACCAATATTAGTTGTAAATATTGAATTTGTTAAGTAACAGTTTGAGTTTCGATCTTGAAGAAATATAACAAACCTTTGAATATGTTTTAAATTAAGTAACAACAATATTTAAACTTAAGATAGTTTCAGAAGGCTTTCGACAACGTACCCATCGCTTCGTTAGTGGTTTTCATCCGTCATGAATGCTATGTATGTTTATTATTTACCGTATTATTTCGCATAAACAAAATCTTTATGAACACAATGTTAGGGTGAAGAAGTATTCAATTTTAATTAATACAATAAGAAATTATTGTAACACAATGAAAACTCAAATATCATGTAGAAGAGGTTTATCTATAAAAATCGGAAAAATTGGAGTTCACAGAGTCACGCAGTACAATCAAAAATATTTTTTTAGTAAGATGTCGACACGAGATACACTTACTATAGGCTAATCCAATGTTTTTCATGATAGGAGCAGTTGTATTTTCCCTTCTTTTGATCACCTACTTCCAGAAACGTCGCTGGGCACTAGCCCATAGAGCATGTGCTCCTAATCTATCTCACGTAAACTTGTATTACATTGCAGTTATGTTTTAATTATTTTGAGTGGTAGCTCCTTCTTGGGGTCCAGGCCCCGATTTATTTTCGAAGCTAGCAATGTCCCTAGCGATTTCTATAATTTTTTCTTTTGATTTTTGTCATAACATACTGCACGATTTCATATCTTTGCTCTTTTTTTTTTTTAACAAAGTTGCCTTTTTTTTTAATTTCCTACACCTACCAATCTATCCTTCAATCGTGTTTTATGGGTCTCTGTGTGTCATAAATGGTAAACTGAATACGGCTGAATCTTGAAAGCTTTGTACTGTTTTGTTTCAAGATCAAAAACCTCTAAGTAAAAAAATGGTGATTTTTTTTAATCACAGGATGGTCTCACCAAATAGAATAAAAGTCGTCAAAATGCATAGGTAGAAAAACTCATAACCAAACAAATCTGATACATTAAAAAATGTGCTTGAAACTTGAATTAGACTTGTAAATTACGTTAAGAAATTCTGTGCTAAACCTACATGTTAAAATCATACTATCATCAGAGTTCAAACAGTATCATCAGAAACCAAATCGAGATGGAAAACTCAAATTAGTTTCCTTTATTATTATTATTTTTTTTGTATTTTGTCAGTATCTAGTGTGGCTAGTATAGTTTTGATGCTTAAAACAGTTACAGGTGTCAAAGCTCTTACTCTTTATCAAAATATACTATAATTGTAAATATAAATCAATAAACCTATAAATAACTAAGTAATTTCCCTGCATGAATGTTGTAATTTAGATACAAAAAAGTTTATAGATGAAAATGGCATTGAGTTTTTGATATTGCAAACTCGATAAAGTGTATTTATTTCTATATTATTTTATAAAAATAATTATCATATGAAAACATGTCTCCACCAACAGGTTCCATCCCGGGAAACTAACTGGCACATGCGAGTGTTTGGTCCAACTTCAACAGCCTAAAGAATCACGTGGATCATGAGCAAATATTGGATGGTGTTGGGTTTAAGTTACAGGCTGAGAGCCCTGATGTAATGCTTTCATAAACAAAAGATCTAGCACGATCAAACACAACTGAATAAATAACTGGCAATTTCGAGTGGAAGAAATAGTATTAAATAGAGCACTACAAAACAGATATTCTGTACTTAGAGAAACATGAAACTGCAAAGTGTTTGTTTTTGAGTTGTATTGTCGGTGAAACGTGGCTTTCTACAGTTCATAGTTTTTCAAATACTTTGTTTTTATTTAAGGTTTGGTACAATATACTACTACAACTGAAGTAGGGGCATCAAGAGGCTTTTTAGTAAGGATCTGTGTTATTGTTTGAAACATATCACCATTTTATTGAGTTTTTAATACATTAATAGTTCAAGCACACACACACACTAACTTTAAAATGGAACAATTTTCTAAACACGACTTTATTAGTACGAAACCTATTTCATTTTGTTCTTATTAAGATACAGAATAACATATATATGTTTTACAACTAACCTTTCTTCTAAAACTAACATAACAAAGCATATTTGTTTTCAGATATAGTTGTATATTCCCAAAAGTGAGACACACCAGTATTAATGGAACATTAAGCAAGGTAGACGTAGTAGGATTGAGAACTTTAATGGACTGCATCTGCCTGTTCTCAAACCAACACACCAGTATTAAGTTTGGTTAAGAGGCAAAGATTCACAGATTTACACTGTTTCATGTGTTCAAAATAAGATGAATGTAAAGAAATTAAATGGGTAACAATGTTATTGTTTGTACCATTCATTATTTTAGCCAGTTTCAGCTTACACATGAGACAAAATGTTAAAGGTTTTCTACTTAAATCAGTTAATTACATTTGTACAGATGTATTTGTTAAAATGTTAATATTGATCATGTACAGCTGAAGCCTTCAATGTTAAGTACGAAAGTATTTTTATTAGCAATTTGCAGCTTAAACTTAATTGCAGTTGTTCGTCTAAAAGGTGTAGCTATGAGACAACAGCTACGATTACATCAATCTCATTCATAAAGGTTCAGTGTCAGTATTAATGTAACATATAAGATAATGTACTAGGTGGGTCAACTCAACATACATAACATATTGTCTTTCAGAAAATTGCATCCATATACAATAAAGCAACTGATGTTACATCACAGAATTATGTTTTCATGTAGTTTTGAATAGTTTGACGTTGGAAACCAAGTAAACTGACAAGTCTTATCTAAGCTATCAACACAGGATAACCAGAATTTTAATAATTATTTTAATGATTCAATGTAGTTTTTTAAATAGAAAACAATGGTCCATAAAGACTACAAACATATTCAGGCAAAACTAAAAGTGATACTAAATATTTTAGATAAACATGTCAGGTAGATGCAGAAAAAACTACTTTACATTTTTAAAATTAATACTCAGGAAGTCAGTATTGTTAGTTAGTATGACAAAGACACAAATTATTATGAATTTATAAACAATTTACAATAAGACAAAACATCTAGTGTCACTTATAAGTCAAGAGTCCTTTTGAAATGAGGTACACACAAGTGTTCTGCTCTATTTTGTGGTATCAGTATTACACGATTCAAAAATATTTTTTTCAGTATTTTCTATATTTATCAAACAATAGCCATTGCTATTTCTTATCAGTGACTCTGATACTAAAAGAAAAGTTGAGATGGCTTGATGTTTGAAATTCTTATTCTAATGTGTTTTAATAAAAATTGCAAATATGTGGTGATCACATATTTACATATCATACAAAATAAAACAAGGAAAATGGAAAAAAATCTGTAATATTTTTTTTAGGAATTGTGGTTACTTCCAATCACAAAGTAGATGAATATCCAAAAACTTTAAAAGCTACACGTACTTGAATTAGTGAAAGGTTTAGGAAAGGAAAAACATTAAAAGACCTTCTGAACTGTTTAAATTTGGACAGATAACCATATTGACTGTACAACCTTGGTTAACATTAGATCTACTATACTAGATGAAAATAAAGTGTAGATAAAACTGTAAGCAACTGTTAAACATTTTTGTAGATTGACAGTAACTGTTATTTTAAAATCCTACCACATTAGTGCAATAATACATTGCAAATTCAATACACATTATACATGTCCCAGAAGTCTGAACCCATAGGGAAAGTAGACATTATATTCTTAAAGTTAAATAAATATTTCTAATGTCAGTTGTACATATTTCAGGAAAATAAAATACCCAGAACTGTTAACCAAGAACTGAAATGTGTATGGCTAACAGTGATGATTAAATAACTGATTTTTCTTTTCTCTTTCCTAGGTACTATGTCGCATGTATATCAAAAGTAATGAAAGATATTATTATGTTATTAGTGTATCTTGCAGTTTTGTTTTAACACAATGAATCCTGTAAATTTTACTTGGAGTTAAAGAAAAATAAAACTGTTAAATCAAAGACATTTTTGGACTGTAATAGCATTATAGTTTACTCTGATTATTCTTAAATTAACATGTAACATTTCACTGTCTACAAACTGGGATTTCAGTTTGTGCCTAAAATGTTTTTCCAGTGTTATGAGAAGAATTAATCTGAGAATACTTGGTAATTTATTCAAACTAGACGATTTTGTTTTCAATCAGAACTACAAATTCATAATTGCAGGAATTTGTGTATTAATAGTCGGGAGGTTAGAAATGACTTTTTTTTTTTCTTTTACAAGCACAGAATTAAAATAATGTGCACCATTAACAACAAAATATCAAAATCAGTGTAATTATTTTTTATATATACATCCTTAAACCAGATTCATTAAAATAGCAGTCAATTACTTACCATATAATTTCAAGATCACTGGCTGGTTTTGGTCAGCTTACAATATAAGTTTCTTTTTCTCCTATTCTATATATATTCACAATTAGGAAAAGGCCTAAACACAAACTTTGAAATTTATTACTGATAAAACTAAATACATAAAATGTTTGTTTTTTTTTATTATATCTAACACAGGAAAATTTATATTTGAGTGAAATATTGATTTACAATTAACTTTTAGAAATTATAATTAATGGAACTAGCATTTTATTAATAACCATTATTTCAACTTCGTGTATGAAAAAAAATCAAACTATCCAACATGTTATTTAACAAAACTGGTCTGGAAAATAAATTTGCTGAAAAATGAGTTTTCAAAACTTTTCTGTTTTACATATCATACAAAATAAAACAAGGAAAATGGAAAAAAATCTGTAATATTTTTTTTAGGAATTGTGGTTACTTCCAATCACAAAGTAGATGAATATCCAAAAACTTTAAAAGCTACACTCAAATAAGTTGGTAGGAGGACTATTCATTAGTACGTCTTCCCTAGTAGATGATGTCTCCAAGTTTTCTGTTGATATTTCATTTGGCAAGGGACGATCTGTTACGTCGCTGGGTAGAAAATCATCAACCTGAAAAAATGTGACGTTCAAAAGGATATATGCCAGAAACTTGAAAACCTTTCTTGATATTTTCTGGAGTAAGCGCTCGTGTAAGGCTTTGATTAACTAAGGTTGGTATGTCATAAATGTACGCGTGGGAAAATAAACATACAATGAACACTGTTTCCTAATGCATTGACTGCAGTAAGAATTGTCACTAGTGTACCTCTTTCACCTGAGTTTATCGAACCACTTGCTTTTTTTTGATGAACTGTAGGG